CTGTTCAGGCTGCCGGAGTACTTTTCGGCGAGTTTTCAGTCTGGAACGAACGCGAACAGAACCCTCTCCTCCCGGCGACCTGCTCTGTGGAAGTCCGGCCACCATCGGAGTTGTCACGCGCTCTCACGCGCCTCCAGTCTTCTCTGCGCGTGGGCTTCACGCGCCACCTTCTGCCGGCGCGTGAGCACTATTCCGGCGGCTTTTTCCGGCCGGTCTTGGACAGAGAAGCTCGTCTTCTCCTCCTCTTTCTGGATCTGTGGTTGGTTCTTTGTGGGTCTGACTTTTTGTGCGCACCTCTTCTTGATTGGTGATCCGGTTCGTTTCTCTTTATTCGGTTTGTATCTTTGTGATTTGATACTATGGCAGCAAACCCTCCAATTCATTCGGAGGTCAAGTCTCCATCTCCTCCTGTGAAAAATTCTCCAATATCATCTCTACCAATATTGGGTCCATTACCTCTTCAAAATTGAAGGGATCTGTTAATTACAAGAACTGGGCCACCTCTGTTCGAGTTTGGTTCTTTGGACAAGGATATGGGAACCATCTCACAACTAAGTCTACTGATGTCCCTAAGGAGGACAAGTCTGATTGGGAAAAGATTGACAACCAGCTTCTGAGTATCCTCTGGCAATCCATTGATCTGATTGTCTTGGATATCTTTTATTCATTTCAAACTTGCACTGAAGTGTGGGAGGAAGCAAAAAACCTCTACACTAATGATGTTCAGCAGCTCGATTTCATCATCTCTCAGTTTATGGAATTGAGCAAATTATCCGACATTCAGATGGAGACATATATTGGCAAGAGTCGCTCTTTGATGCAGGCATATTTGGATATGCTGCCTTACCCTACTGATGCTACTGCATATCGGAAACAGGTGGAACGTCTCTTTATGGTTGCCACACTTTCTGGCCTTCCCGAAGAATATGATAATGTTCGTGATACTATCTTGACTAGTGGGGAGCCTGATCTATCCATGACGTATCAGCGTCTTCTGAATTTGAATAAGAAATCTGCTCCTGCATCGTCTTCTGCTGTTGATTCTACTGCTCTAGTTTCCCGTACTGATTTTCGCGGGCATATTGGAGGTGGACGTGGTCGTGGTAGAGGCCCAGGAGGCCGGGGCCCAGGAGGACGTAGCCCAGGAGGTCGTGGCCCAGGAGGTCCAGTCGGACGTGGTCAGCGACCTCGTTGTCATTACTGTCAGCAACTTGGTCATTATGAGGAATGCTGCTACACAAAGTATCCTCACATGCGACCTTCTTTTGCTGCTAATGTAGCTCAATCGGATACTGCTTCAAATGGTTCAGTCTCTCTCTCCTCTGAAGAATATGCAGCATTCCAGGCCCTTCTCAGGAAGTCCTCTCCTCAATCTCAGGCCTCTGCTTCAGAAACTGGTAATCCTGTTGCTTGTGTTTCTCATTCTGCATCACTTGGTCCTTGGATATTTGACTCAGGTGCTACTGATCACCTCTGTGGTAATAAGGAACTCTTTTCTTCCCTTACATATTCTAATAATTTACCCTCTTTTACTCTTGCTGATGGAACTAAGGCCCGTTCATGAGATTGGACAAATCTGTCCAACCTCCTCATTGACCTTGACATCTGTCTATTACATTCCTCACATCCCTTATAATTTAATATCGGTTAGTAAATTGATCAATTCTCTTAATTGTATTGTCACATTCTCAAACCATTCTATTTCTGTGCAGGACCCGGGTACGGGGAAGATGATTGGAGTGGGCCGTGAGTCACGGGGTCTGTTCTACCTTGATGTGCCGAGTCCTTCAGTTGCTTGTTCTCTCACAGAATCTCCTCAGCTCATCCACAGTCGTCTCGGGCATCCTAGTCTTGCGAAATTGCAGAAGATGGTTCCTCTTTTATCCGGTCTTCAAACTTTAGATTGTCAGTCATGTCAGCAAGGAAAGCACATACGCTCCTCCTTTGCTAATCGAGTCAATAAACGAGCTGATGCTCCTTTTTCAATTATTCATTCAGATGTTTGGGGTCCTAGTCGTAGTGTGTCTATTTTAGGTTTTCGGTATTTTGTCACCTTTATTGATGATTTCTCCCGTTGTACTTGGATTTATTTAATGAAAAACCGTTCTGAGTTGTTTTCTATTTATCAAAAGTTTTCTGCTGAAATTCATACTCAATTTGGTGCTTCTATTCGTATTTTACGTAGTGATAATGCTAAGAGTATGTTTCTGTTGACTTTTCTCATTTCTTAGCCACACAGGGTACTTTACACCAAACCACTTGTCCTCACACTCCACAACAAAATGGAGTAGCTGAACGTAAGAATAGACATCTCATTGAGATTGCCAGGACTCTTCTTATTCACATGCATGTTCCTCTTCACTTTTGGGCTGATGCAGTCCTTGCTTCTTGCTTTCTCATCAACCGCATGCCTTCATCTGTGCTTAATAATGATATTCCTCATAACTTATTGTTTCCAGATGTTCCTCTCTTTCCTCTATCCCCACATGTTTTTGGTTGTACCTGTTTTGTTCATGATCTCACTCCTGGTAAGGATAAGTTAACATCCAAAGCCTTTAAATGCATTTTTCTTGGTTATTCTCGTCTTCAAAAGGGTTATCGTTGTTACTCTCCTGACCTCAAGTGTTACTTAGTTTCCGCGGATGTCACCTTTTTTGATCAACAACCCTTTAATTCTATCCCATCTCCATTGTCACAGGTTGATCATGTTCTTCCTGTTCCTTTTCTTGACTTGTCTTTGCCAGATGCAGGTGCTTCTACTCCAGATAAGCAATCACCTATTGCTCCAGTACCTGAGGACCGTCCACTTCTCACTTATCAGTGTCGTAAGACAATACCTCCAGTCGACTCGACCCCTGCTGACTCATTGCCCTCTGCAGTTGATTCTTCCCCTCCGGATCCTTCACCAGAGGCTCTTCCCATTGCTCAAAGAAAAGGTACACGTACTACTCGTAACCCTTATCCTCTTTATACCTTCTTGAGCTATGATCGCCTTTCTCCTCCTCATTTCACCTTTGTTTCTAGTCTTTCTTCTGTTTCTATTCCCAAGACCACAGGTGAAGCACTTTCCCATCCATGATGGCGCCAAGCGATGCTTGATGAGATGACCGCACTTCATACCAATGGCACTTGGGACCTTGTTTCTGCTCCTCCAGAGAAGTCTATAGTTGGTTGTCGCTGGGTGTTTACTGTGAAAGTTGGACCTGATGGCCATGTTGATCGTCTCAAGGCACGCCTAGTTGCCAAGGGTTTTACTCAAATCTTTGGCCTTGATTATAGCGATACATTCTCTCCAGTCGCTAAGATGGCGTCCGTCCGCCTATTTCTTGCCCTTGCTGCTGTTCGTCACTGGCCACTCCTTCAACTTGACATCAAAAATGCCTTTCTTCATGGTGATTTACAAGAAGAAGTTTACATGGAGCAACCACCTGGTTTTGTTGCTCAGGGGGAGTCTGGGAAGGTATGTCGTCTTCGAAAATCCTTATATGGTCTCAAGTAGTCTCCTCGAGCATGGTTCAGTCGCTTCAGTTCTGCTGTACAGGCGTTTGGCCTAATTCGCAGTAAAGTTGACCATTCTGTATTCTATAGGATTACATCTCCTAACAAGTGCATCTATTTGTTAGTCTATGTTGATGACATCATCCTCACCGGAAGTGATCAAGACGGAATCCATCAGTTAAAACAACATTTATTCAGTGCATTTCAAACAAAGGACCTTGGGAAGCTGCGTTACTTCTTGGGAATTGAGGTGGCGCAATCTAGACAGGGCATTTCTATCTGTCAAAGGAAGTATGCCTTGGATATCCTAGAGGAGACTGGTATGTTGGGGTGTAAACCAGTTGATACACCCATGGATCCTAATGTTAAGTTATTGCCCAGACAGGGGGAGCCGTTATCTGATCCTGGACGTTATCGAAGGCTGATTGGGAAGCTCAATTATCTTACTGTGACTAGGCCAGATATTTCTTTCGTTGTCAGTACGGCCAGTCAGTTCCTTGATTCCCCTTGTGATTCACATTGGGATGCTGCTGTGAGGATCCTCCGATACATCAAAGGAGCACCAGGAAAAGGTTTGTTGTATTCGGATCAGGGAAATACATAAATTTGTGGTTACTCAGATGCCGATTGGGCAGGATCACCCTCGGACAGACGCTCTACTTCTGGTTATTGTGTCTTCTTCGGAGGAAACTTAATCTCATGGAAAAGCAAGAAACAACCTGTTGTTTCCCGATCTAGTGCAGAAGCTGAGTATCGTGCAATGGCAAATACTACCTGTGAGTTGATCTGGTTAAAGCAGTTGATTCAGGAGCTTCATCTTTGTGAACAGAAACAACCCATGACACTCATCTGTGATAATCAAGTTGCGCTACATATATCCTCTAATCCTGTTTTTCATGAGAGGACCAAACATATAGAGATTGATTGTCACTTCATTCGGGAAAAGATTCAGTCAGGAGAAATCAAGACAGCTTTTGTCAACTCGTCTAATCAACTAGCAGATGTTTTCACTAAAGCTATTAGAGGTCCTCGGGTTGAATACATTTGTAACAAGCTTGGTGCTCATAATATATACGCACCAGCTTGAGGGGGAGTGTTAGAATATTAGATATGATATGATTAGATTTGATTAGATATGATTGGATTCTGTCTTATCCGTAAATAGTCTGACTGTATTCTGACTGTATTAGGATTAGGTTTGGATTAGGTTTGGGCCTTACACTTAAGCCCATTAGGGTCTCTATATATTGTAACTCCCTGACACAGATCAATATAGAACGTATTCTTTTACATTTAAGTATTGCTAACTACAAAGTGAAGCAAGATGGATTATGATTTAAAAAATAAGGGCTGTGAATTAGGAATTGTTTCACCAAAACACGATTTATTAATTAATTAATTAGTGTAGCCAATCATAACAATTACTCGTGAGTTGAGCTGTGCTTATAAATTTTGTTAGCTTTAAATGACATTTAAATTTTGTGTATTTAACGACCGTTGCTATGAATTTGTCACTTATTACTTATCTCAAATTTCAGGTTGTGAACGATATTTGTATCTTGTCATCTAGTGGAAGAGTTGCATCTTGTGATGGAACAATTCATATTTGGAATAGTCAAACAGGGGAGCAAATATCAGTATTTGCTGAGTCCCAAACAGATTCTGGCAATCCTACAAGTCATCCATCGTCTGCATCAAAAATTAACAGTGACCAGGCAAATGTGCTTAATTTGAATACATTATCAAATGGAATATTGTCTAGTGCTTTTGATTCGAGCCTTTATACTTGTATGCATCTAGTAGACTCTGCTGAAACTCTTGTAGTTGGCACTGGAAATGGTTCTCTCAGGTGACATTAATTCTCTGTTTCAAATGCCCTTTCAATCAGATTTACATTAGAAAATATATTTGATGCCCTCCAACTTTGAATTATTGTTGTACTGCATAGGTTCATTGATGTTGCTCGAGGTCAAAAGCTTCATATCTGGAGAGGGGAATCGAATGAATCTAGTTTTCCTTCACTTATTTCTGCCATCTGTTCCTCTGGTTCTGACAAGATGCAAGCAGGTGGAATTTCCACTTTTTCATCTTTGATTGCAACTGGATTAAGTTCTGGTCACTGTAAATTATTTGATGCAAGGAGTGGAAGTGTCATTGCCTCTTGGCGGGCTCATGATGGGTATGTGACAAAGGTAAGTTGGTTATGTTTAAAATATTAGGGACTACCCAATTTGATTTTACACACTGCTTCATCAATTTCCTTGTTTACAGTTAGCAGCACCTGAGGAGCATATGCTCGTTTCCAGCTCTCTGGACAGAACTTTACGAGTCTGGGATTTAAGAATGTAAGAGCTATCACCCTTAATGAATATTCAATTTATTAGGAGTTTAGGACCATTTAGAGCTGTCTCTCTTAAGCTTCTTCTATTAATAGATCAAAATCTTGTGTCTTTTGACACGTGAAAATTGTTTGAAGGTAAGGCAAATGTTCAATTGAGGTTTGAAGAATGATCACCCCTTGTGGCATATACACCTGGTGGTAGTTTACAAACTCCATAGTAAGATTGTTTCTACAAGATGTAGGTGCATATAATGCCAGTCTAGGAAATTAAAGAATTTACTAACAATCATCATGAGCAAAAAGACCCATTTAACCTGCACCATTTTTTGTTTCTTTCTTCGTTGTCATGTCAGTCTTGGACTTCCTTACCTCCATGTTTCTGTTGTTTCACGTTTCATACATTTGAGTCTGTGCCTGATATATTGCATGTGTTTATTTGAAGATATATTCCTAAAAGAATAACCTAAATGAAAATGATAAGCTTTCTTCCACATTCCTTGAAAGATATATTCTGTAGCTCATCTCTTTATTATCCTTGCAGGAATTTGCCATCGCAGCCCATTATTTTCAGAGGTCATTCAGATGCCATATCCAGTTTCTCCATTTGGGGCCAAGATGTTATTTCAATTTCCAGGAATAGGATTGGGCTTCTCTCCTTGTCTAAATCTGCCAATGAAACAGTATGCTTTTCTTTTTTTTTTGAGGTTCACACTTGCATGATGAGGATAGGAATTAGGAAGGATCTGTTGATTTTGCATGTCTTGGCTCTAGCACCTAATTTAGATGTCAAAATAACTCTGTTCATTCTTGCTTTAGTTATATCGTTGTTGCTCGATGTGAATTTTTTTTTTCCTCGCTTAATATAGATTCTGCTCTCCAGTAGAATATGAATATGCTGCAAACAACATTTATTTAAAACCTACCCTTCCTCCCAATCATTGTTTAATATTTGTGATTGTTTAATAACGAGCAGAAATGAAAAGCTTGATGTCATTGTTTAATAATATCGATTTGTGCTAAATTATTTTTACTTTTTTTATGATGAATATTTGGTTACATGAAACAGGATGGGCAGCATCACATTAACCCCCAGAAACTCTACGTTTCTGATAATGGAATGAGAAGCTTGTCGGCATTATCAAGTATTAGTATACTTCCATTCTCTCGATTGTTTCTCATTGGAACAGAAGATGGTTATCTGAGAATCTGTTGTTAAAAATGCTTCGTTATTGCTTGTCTTTGCTTCGGCAGCAGTGAATTCATTTGTACATCGTTAATTATTTGTTTCAGCCAATATGTCCTTGTAAATTAATCAAGTAATCAATCTTTTTGCCAAGTACAACCCTTTATGTTCCTTTTTTATTATTTTTTTTAAAAAGTTAATAATTAAAATATCAAGAAAATATCATTGGTAGTGTTTAAGAATTTGGAAGTAATTCATTTAAACTACGTACTACTAATTGTAAAAAAGGAGGACCATTCCAAATTTTCATAATAAAAATAATAAATTTAATTACTGCAAATAGTCATTCCCAATAAATCGAGTCTAATTATAGGGTTCTAGAAGATAATTTATTTCATTTATGAAAAGATATGAACTTTGAAGATATTGAGGGGTCTAGAAAATTGATTGCTGGTCGGTTAGTTCTAATTAAAACCCATTAATTTTTTTTGGGAGATTGATCGTTTGATATAATTTAAACATTTAATCTTGGGATGTGGGAACCGTCACTTGCGTAGAAAATATTTTATAAACCAAATTGTGAACTTAACGAATGCCCGAATCTCTTTATTAAATATTAATCCATAATTTTAGTCAAAGATGAGTTGCATTTGGATAATGACTTCGATTTTGATCCATCCATATTCAATACGGCAGAGCACAACCAGCACTGTGTCGGTTTACTCTGCGTCTGTACTGCATTTGTATTAGCACGCTAATTATATCATTGAACAGGGGGTGATTCTCTCGTGTTGAAAAAAAAAAAAAACATGATATCCTCGTATGGGACAATTATAATTTCATAAAAATGAATCAATAGTTATGATTTAGTAATTATTTATTTTAATATTTTTTTTTCTCTTTTTTTATCATCATTAATATTTATTTTTGTATATTTATAATTGTTCCCATTATCATGTCATATTTTTTTAACACCAGAGAATCCATTTCCTATTAAACATTAATTTTTCGTACACTTGCATTTAATGTACTAGAATATTTGAATAGGAAAAAATAAAATAAATATCCACCGTTTACAAATTTAAAATTTATTTTTTAAGATGGAACTCTAATAAAAAAATCATTTAACATCATACATGGGTAATTTATAAAAAATAATGCTAATTTTTTTTGTAATGTTAAGTAAACTAATCCGTTAATTGTTGGAGAAATCAAAATATATTATGCTTTTAAATATTTAAATAAAAATCAATACCACATATAAAAATCTATGAGAAACGTAAGAAAAAAAATCAAATATTTTTATTGTCACCAAAAAAAAAATTCAAAAAATGCCACCGAGTTTAGAGTTTTTTAAAACAATGGCAAAATGTAAATTTCAATCTTATGCAAATTAATCAAGTTTCTCGCCATTTATTCAATTTTACTATTGGGCTATAAACAGTTGAGAGTAAACAATATATGTAAATAAAATGTAAAATTTAATCAGCTTGACACAGAAGTTACCATTTGTCTTAATTTTTTGTCGAGTTATACATATGGTACCTTTTGATTTGTAGAGTCAATTTCATATCACTTTAAATCGGATGCGAAAAAAATAACAGAAGGGTTTATAATGTACATTTTTTATATATGAATCACATTCTTTAAAAAAAATTACCTTATTTTTAAGAATACCCTTTGGTTTATCTTTTAAATTATGGAATAAATAGTACAAAACAATTTTTTTAATAAACTAAACCACATTGTAAATAAATAAAATAAACTAAACTACAATTTATCTCATTGTAATTGGTTATTTGTCTAAATTTTAAATAACTTCTGATATCACTTTCTTTTCAAAATAATGAAATATTTAAGAAAAAAAAATATTTATTCTTTTAAAGGATCTAATTTTGTGTTATTTTATATCCTAATCTTTGATTTTGTTCAATCAATAGTTAGGATTTGTGAAATTTTATTGTGAATTACTAATTAATTAATAAATTTGTCCCAATAAATCTTAATCATTGATTGATAAAAATTAACGACTAAGATATAAAAAAGACAAAGTTATATTTCAATAGAACAAACTTTTTTACCATAAAGAAAAAAAACAAGGAAACAAGCAAACGACAGCAAAGATTGGCTGTTGGAACTAGGGAGAGAATAGTGGATATAAAAAAAGAAGAAAACAAGGTAGGGACATAATGGGTAATTGAGGTTCCATCGTTAGAAGCTTATATTATATTAACCACCTCAATTGAACAACCTCCCTACCTCTCTCTCTCTTTCTCTCTATACACAGCATAATCTTTAGCATCTTCCACTGTGAACTAGCGCTTTCATTTCGTTCTTCGCTTTGTTTTAGGTTCCATTCAACGATCCAAGAAAAATGCTAGCGGTTTTCGACAAATCTGTGGCAAAGAGCCCTGAGGCTCTGCAGAGTCCTCAGTCAAACTGTGTTTCAGCCCTGAAAGATGGGTTTCTGGCACAACACTTCTCATCTGTTCATCCTGGTTCCGTCACCGTCAACCTTGGCTCTTCGGGTCTCTTGGCATATTCTCTTGACAAACAGAACCCCCTCCTTCCAAGGTATATATATATATATATATATATATTACTACCCCGCCCCCTTTTTATTTATTTTCCCATGATCTTGGATTAAATGAAAATGAAAAAAGAAAACCCATTTCTCTATGTCTTTTATGTTAAATTTTGTTTTGTTCAAAAAAAATTCTTCTTGATCTGGTTTCCTTTTTTTTTCCCTTATTGGATGATTTTTTTAGACATTTGAGTTGAGGAGTGATTAAAGTTGAAACCTTTTTTCGATAAACCCCTTTGATATCCTTGTGGGTTTTGTTGATGATCAAAACACTTTTTTAGTACTACGCTGATAAGTTTAACCTGTATGTTAGTTTATGATTATGTGTTTAAACCTCTCACTTATTAGGATAAGGGTGTGTAGTTGATTCTTTTATATTGCTTGGCATCTTATTGTTGATTTCGATTCTTGGTGAATGGAAGATCTTGTGGGCTTTTAGCAAATTTTAAAGTTATTCTTGTTTTCTTTTTTTAAACTTCACTGTCATTCTTTATCTTATTAGGAACTTAATTTGGCCAAAATCAGAGATGGTTCGATTTTATGATGATAGCATTTATAAAATCCTTTAGATTCTCCTAGAAGGTTGTTTGGGTGTGTTATAAAATAATACTTTTCTTTAATTGTTCTTTCAAATTTCAAAGATCTTAAAATATATATAACTTTTTTGTTAGTATATTAAATTTGTGCTCTCTCCCCTCCTTGTCCTCCCTTCCCACCAGTAGAAGATATACTAAGATAAAAAACAAAAAGAAGATATACTAAGATAGTTTTGCAGTGTCATTTGTAATCTTTCTACCATGGCCTTAAACCTTTTTCTGTTGCTTCTTATTATTGTAATTTTACTAATTCTATTTAGATTAAAAAAAAAAGTTCATATCACGAGGTTACTTTTCTGCTTAGGCCTTAGAGCAATACTTGCCTAATGTTTCCTCTCTAATGTTTAGCTGATTTCTCCTCCTCTTTCTCTTTGATCTGTTTTGATAAAATACATTAGTACCAAAATCACAACTTCTGAAAATCCCAAATTGAGTGAAATCCTTAAAAACTGATTTTATGAAAAACAATTGATGCTATAAAGTAGTTAAAAACAATTCTCATTTCTGGAAAATCTATTATATATGTTTATTTTTTATTTTTTTTTATTTTTTGCCAGGCTGTTTGCGGTCGTGGATGACATCTTCTGCTTGTTTCAAGGCCACATTGAGAATGTTGCTAATCTTAAGCAACAATATGGATTGAATAAAGCAGCAAATGAGGTGATCATTATCATCGAGGCATACAGGACTCTAAGAGATCGTGGTCCCTATCCTGCTGCTCAGGTTGTGAGAGATTTCCAAGGCAGATTTGCATTTATTCTGTTTGACAGTGGTTCTAAAACCACATTTGTTGCTGCGGTGAGTTATCCTTGGTCCATCTTTTTGCTGTCATATTATCCAATCGTTTGCTTCTCTAACCTGGTATAGATATCCTGGTCTTTCGCAGGATGCTGATGGGAGTGTTCCCTTCTTTTGGGGAACTGATGCTGATGGAAATCTTGTTCTTTCTGATGAGACAGAGATTGTAACTAAGAGCTGTGGGAAATCTTCTGCACCATTCCCTATAGGTAATAATATAATTTGTTGTGAAAAGATAGTTGACTATATAAGTCCCATGTGTTGAACATTTCCTGTGAAACCTCACTTTAAAAAATTATATGAGCATGAGTATATTAAAAATGAATTAAGAGGAAGAAAGGGATGATGAGTTCAATGACTTGGAAATGGGAAATATACATTGACTTTATTTTTGTTTAAGATGGGTAACAAATGATATTTTCTTTTGTTTCTGAACCTCCTTTTATGTTATTGTTTACTTTGCAATTATCCTTTTCAAGATCTTCGTGCTCTGCAATTGACTGTCCACTGTCTATGTATCTTCCATATCTTACATACGATGGTTTCATGCAAAAAGTGACATATCTTATCATATGTTCAGGATGTTTCTTTACAACATCTGGAGGTTTGAGCAGTTTTGAGCATCCACTTAATGAGCTGAAGCCTGTACCAAGGGTTGACAGTTCTGGTCAGGTGTGTGGTGCCACTTTCCAGGTGGATGCCGAGGCTAAGAAGGAAACAACTGGTATGCCAAGGGTTGGGAGTGCTGCTAACTGGTCTAATAATATCTGATTTCAACCCTGTTTTATTTGTACCGAGGCTTTTATTATTGCTTGACTTGGTTGAATTTTCAAGTTCTGGTCATCTGTTCCTACCATATGATAACTCCGAGGCTCTAGTGAGGCTTAGCTTATCATATTAGTTATTGCGGAACAGAAATATGATTTCATGAAGCTATCCAAATTGCTTCCGAGCAAATATTGAGCTCATACTCTCTTGGCACATATCATGTAATAATATCAACTTGCGCACAGGTTCATCCTAAAAATGAAGATTAATTACTGCTTTTGTTTGATCTCGTAATATTTTGGTTTATTTTTTCCCTCCTACAGCTACTAATTGTGACGGATATTATGTCAAAAAATTGGCTCTCCATTGACAGCAAGGTTTTTGAATGTTTTGAGTAACGTTGAAATAGCAAAATATCTGCTTCTTACAATATAGGAAATGTATATAAACTATAGGAAACTCGCTTGATATCTCTGGAATATACTAACACCGCTCAAGCAACAGCACTTATACAAGCTATAAGCAAATATCAGGAAGATTAAGATTACTAAAAATATTCAGTCACTGTTGTCTGGAACGCGACCTTTCAGTCCTTCGCGTCTGCAATGCCGCCTGTTGTTATCTGGAACACGTAACACGGTCAAGAAAAACATGCGAACAGTAGACGTAACTTTTTCCTCATTCCCGGATGCACTGTAATTAGCTTAAATGCCCATGATGATATTTTGACCATCTAAAATCCACTTATTTGGCTGAATATTTAGAATTATGTAAAAGCTAATTTTAAGTTGTTACTGCAGTCTTTTTTGTTCAACTAATAGATGATATTAAAGGGGTAAAGTCAGGTAAAGGATATTGCTTCAGCCTCTGGCAGATTTGGGGCGTCAAACACTTTGCAAACGCGCTGTTCACCTTTACCTTTCCTGAACATTAGCCTTATTGTGGCTGCATGGGCTAGCACATGCCCTCCTGCTGGTTTCTTTGGATCAGTTACGAACATCCCACCTCCTGGATCAGCTATGACTGCAGCCACACTCACAATATTGTATAGATGAGCAATACGCTTCCGGTCTTCTCATAAAAGATACAACCAAAAATCGAATGCTAATACTTATGTTATAAACAAAAGCTTTAAAACAATCAATTGGGACTTCCGAGTGAAAAATTAACAGGAGGAAAAAAAAAATCCACCCACAAGTGCATAATTTACCTTGATTTGTCATATAAACTGCAACATTAAATTCCTCAGCTATCTTGATTAATCGAGAAAGCATCTGTGCCAGTCTTTGCTGCAAATGGGTGTTCATGTCAGCAAAAGTTGACGAGATAGGGGGAGCGAATTGAGTTATTTTAAGTGCATGTAAATGACAGACCTGGCGCTCTGCAAGCTCTCCTCTTCCTGAAAAATCCACCCGAAACAGAGCAATCACCGAATCCACTATCTGCCAAAAATAAATTCCGAACTCTTCACATCCCATGATATTGCAACGGAAGATAACTGTGTTATTCGGCTGGTAAGATCTCACCAGAAGTCTGAATGGTTCTTCGGACATTTTTGCAGCCAAACCAAGGAGAAGGTTGTACTGATGCTCATAAGTGTAGGCACGAGCATAGATAATCTTGCGCAGTCACAAACAGAATATGATTAGGTGTCAGCACCAAAATATTTCCCTTCAGAACCCGATTATGAGAAATGAAACAGGAAAATTACATTGTCGAGTACAGCCCCAGGATCCATGCCAAACCTCTCTGCTATTGGAACAATTCGGTCAGGTCGGCTACAGTTATTTGCGATTGAACAGAAAACATAGGAAAAATTGGGCGGATATCAGTTGAAAACACAATCACAAGTTATCGATGCAGAGGGAGGGGGCTAAAGTTCTTAGAAGTTATTATGTGAAAAGAGAAAATCATACAAAGTTCCTTCTGTGTCAATGTAAGCAACTTTTCCATTGCCTCCCCGCATATTAGTTGGCAGCTGGAGGGGTCAGGAAGGGTCATTAGTATATTCCAAATATTTCAATGTTTGTGAAAATAAGGATAGTACCGTACGCATATATAAATCCGTGTTTGAGAAGCTATGCTTACGACAAGGGATACAAACATGCTTTAGAAAAATACTCGAATTTCAACTTAAGAGGACAGAATGCAACTTAAGAGGACAGGTTCAATTACAAATACTCGATAATAGCAATTAAACACCTAACATGGCATGACCAAGGAAAGATCATAGAAGTAAACCTGAGTGGAAACACAGAGAGTATGAGCAAGCTGCGTTTTCCCAGATCTGAAACATAAAATCCTATCATTAGAATGAACTCCTCCTGAAACTGAATATGAATCGAATCTATCCAAAACCAGATATGTGATGTCTTCTCACCGAAATTCTCCAAACGCTTCTGTAATTGCCAGGGTCTCGATTCCACCTTTTCAAAAGTTGAAAAGAAAATTTTAGATAGAAAATAGTTACGAGCGTAACAGAGTCAAAACTTACGATTCATACAAGCAGTAAATACAAGACTGAATTAAAAAATTCAGTCTAAAGTTACCTCCTAGCAGTTCATCTAGCGCTTGGCTTCCAGTTGTAATTCGGATCACAGACTTCCTCTACAGTAACAGAGTACAAATACATACTTAATCCAAGTAGTCAAGTACAACCAATTAATATGTACTTAAGCTTAACGAAAGCCCCCGAAATTTCTCAAGTGTTAAAAGACATGCAGATCTAATTCGAATCCATAATTCAAATTAAAAATCCACACAAAATAAACGACATACTTTGAGGAGCGCATCACTTCCGGTAATATAACCAAAATTCTGCACCGGAGAGGGGAAAATAAAATAGGAAGATCGAATTATAAGGAGTTAAAATAGTATTCTGAAGTAAATTAGATTTCATATATTACGATCCCTGACCACAAGCTTCTCAGCAGCTTCACAGATCTTATCGACCTTGGCCTCGGATAAACCTTTGATTCCAGTTAAGTTCTGTGAAAATATAACAAAATTATGTTAAGGTTTGTATGTAAAGTAATTCCACATCCTTAGATATTCGAATCAAAGATCTGTTTAAAGTTTAACCTTCTTCGTGTGCATCATCAAGCCATTGCAGGTATATATCCCTGCATCCTGAAGCTTCTTCACATCTCCGGCATTGATGCCTTGGGAAATCACTGTGTAGATACATACTCTTGTGAACCGAAGACAAAACGCTTTTCTAATAATCAAACGAGGACAAATTGTGCTTTTCAAACTAGATCGTTGTTCGGAAACAGTTTATCTAGCCAAAATTTTCAGAAAACCGGAGAGAAGGAAAACGTGTACCACTGAGGATGAAGATTTTACAATTGCAAATATTTGTTGAGTGAAAAAGTGAATCTAACGAAACTTCTCAGTGAAGAGCAGAGAAAATGAAAACGAGAAAGTACTCAGAATGAAGATTTCATGATCAGATACGAGGTGATGATACAGAGGCAAATCAAATACAGAGATCGGTTTTTTCAGCGTCGATCTATAAATAAGAAAAACGACGAAAATGAACGGGAAAAAAGAGTTGAGAGAAAATACGTTTGTCGATAGCTTCGAAGAGGTCATCTTCCTCGTCGATGTCTTCTCGTTCGACGAGCTGCAACTGGCCGCTCGACTCTTCGGATCTAAAAACGAGTACAGTAACGGAAAAGTCACTTGCGATTAAATTATGAGGTAGAATTGAAACTGAGATGAAGAAATGGAACTAGATTTTGTGACTTACTTGAGCGTGGCAAGCATCGTGGCTGTGGAGGGAAATTTTGAATGCGACTGAAGAACAGAGAGGGAAAGAGAAAGATTTGAATTCTGAATGAGGATTGAAGAAGTGAAGGAATCAATATATATAGGGCGGGAAATGGGAGAGGGAGAAGTTCGTTAAAGCTGAGAAGTGAGAAGAATTATATCAAACGGTTCGCGTTCCCTCCTTTTTCATTCCTTTCATTTATTTTAATATTCTGTTCAATTTTCTGTTACAATACGTTTGGTGTGAGTGTGACAATGGGTTGGGCCTTCTTCCCCATTTTTCATAATTCAGAGTGCTGAATGCTTGGTACGAGATAAAAGTTTAGGATAACGTCGGGTTAATTTTTTAATTAAAAGTTACAATAAATTATTTTTCATGTAAACATCCAGAACACGTGTTGTGTCGACATCATTTTTTATATAAGCTTGTATCATTTTAGATCCTCACTGTTGATTTTCATCCATCAACGATTATATTTATTGGATCAAAATTATTAATTAATTAATTAATAATAAATTTGACCCGTTAAGTTTGATCCAATAAATTATAACCGTTGATGAACGGAAATCAACGGTTAAGATCTAAAATGATATAAGTTTATATTCTTTAAAAGGATAAATATTTTTCCCTATAAATTTTTAAAAAGTTAAAATAAAGTAGTATTTTTGTAATTATTAATTAAAATATATTAACCAAACAAAAAACAAATAATCGCACCTTCAAGTTTCTATTTTCTACAGTTAAGGTGTAAACTAATTTCACCACAACAGAATCTAAAATGCGTAGTAAGCTCTGATATATCAGTGGGATAATTATGAGTCAATATATGAAACTACTAATGTTAATATTAGGTTTTAATTTTACAATACAACGTGGTGGTTGATTTACATGAGTGTGTTTGGGAGGCATTCACCATCAGTTTCAGCCTTGGCAAACTATTAGAGTATTTCACGCATAAGTTGTCGAGTATGTTCTTGTGATTCAGAAATATATAATTCTGAAGCAACAATGATGAATAATTGATCTGCACAAACGATTGAAGTATGATATATCACACAAAAGATACACCGGGTATGTTGGATGACCATGTAACACTCTTCTTTTAACTGAGGGAGGGCAAATCTCCCTTAGCTAGGTGTCTGCATCCTCTACTTGCTGATCTAATTCTTGCCTCCTTTGGTTTCTGATACCCAAGTCATCAAAGTTTGCTTCAGTTTTCCACGGAGGTGGAGTTAGATAATCAGAAACTCCTGATAGTCTTTCGGAAGGGTCTCTGGCTGGTGTTCTAGGCACAGCGGAATCAAACTGGCCCACTCTCAGTTTCTGAAGTGCTGCAAATGACTCTCTTGTGGCAGACATGGCTTCAAAGAACCGAGTACAAGATGCCAAAGCTACAGGAATGGGTCGAAGCATTTCCTGGAGAAAAAACAAAAGTAACTGCGTTTGAAATGCAAGTGGCAAACACAAAAGGGTATGGCCATTATTCTACACAGAGATGGTCTCAAAGTAGTGCCTGTGTATACAGTTTTGTTACCTTTGAAAACACTTACTGAAATGGGATAAAATGCATAACCTTCAGAATGTGTAACAAACACGAAGTTTAGCTTCTTGTGCTCAAATTAAGAATTAAATAACTTACATGATTATCTTTCCGATGTCAAAACTTTCATTGTAACTACTTAAAAACTCCATTTATAGTATTTGCAGATGAACAGATCAGACTTCGAGCAATTTTAAAGTGTAGAATGGTCTTAAATACACTTGCCATTATTCTTAATTTTCCAAAGTGAAAAGATAAATCACAAAGAATACAAACTAAATCCATTATCCCCAAGCCATATTCTTGATACTTCCAAGTAACTGTACACACACACATATATCAAAACTATCATAAAACAATAAAATATATATCAAGACTATCATAAAAGAATAAAATGAATTTAGAAGTATACCCCCCAAACTGAAGGAGGTTCCTTGAAATTCTGACTCCACTGAAAATCTGCCACTGATGCTGTCAAGGCACCATAATCACTAGCTGCCTTCATTAGTAATTCGGAGAATTGTTTCTGCACGAATTAAAGAAATATATGACACAAGCATTACAATGCCTGTCTTACATTTTTTTAAAATTTACACTCAATAGTATACATAAATTTTGAAATACAGTTAGGTGTGAGAATATAGGGTAATGTTTTAACCAATTTCTTCTTACCCTCAAGATAAAAATTGTTTTCAATCGGGTAACTAGGTTAAAGTATGATGGGCCTCTTAAGCCTTATGCCCAAGTATACACTCGGAAGGCCCATAAAAGTAAGGGTAAGGACAAACCACAATCAGTTGCTGAAGGGGACACATGGCAAGCTATGAATGGAGAGGAAGATATTGGAGGAAAAAGGGAAGAGGAAGGGAAAAATATAAGTTAGTTATGGAGAGAGAACTAGGGGTGGAGTTTTTAGAGGGTGGAAAGGTGGGGTCGAGGTCTGTGAGGGAATATCTGAGTAGTGGTATTGTAAGGTGTGAGTTGTAATCTCTTCGATCGGCCAGTCCATTGAAGGGAATAGAGTCCTGACTTGGTTATTTTACTGTTATCTATCGGAGTTGTAATCACGATGGTGTATGACTCTGTTTGCTTATAATAAAATTGTTGTTATTCATCTTTATCTTGATAATCTTTTCTTGCTGTTCCAAGAACAGATTCTGGTACCAACAATTGGTATCAAAGCACTTTTCTGGGAAATCTATTCGTGAATGGTGGTAACGAGAAACATGGATCACCGAATGGAAGCTTTGGAGGTTAGGGTGGGAGGAACGGAAGAGGGAATTCGTCGGATTGAGACGAACCTGGCGGAAGTAATGCGAACTCTTCAGGAGTTAGCGCGAGCTGGGAGGAATGGAGGAACAAATAGTGAGGGAACTGGGAGTCAAGGAGGAAATCAGGAGACCAGTCCTCGAACGGTGAGAAGTGAGGAAGGGATGAAGAGAGTTGAGGTCCCATATTTCTCAGGCGAGGACCCCTATGGATGGATCTTTAGGGCGGAAAGATATTTCCGGGTCAACAGAATTCCGCCGGAGGAACAGTTGGAGACAGCGTCAATTTGTCTTGAAGGAGAGGCCTTAAGTTGGTTCCAATGGTGGGAACCAAGGAACCCGTTAGCGGAATGGATGATATTTAGGACGGCAGTCCTGCAACGCTTTCACGCGTCTCCTTCCGGCAACCCGTATGAAGCGCTAATGGAGTTGAAGCAAATGGGAACGGTGGCGGAATTTCGAAAGCAATTCGAAGTGTTATCAGCTCCGTTGGGGCAGGCTGATGAGGAACTAATGCAAGCGGCTTTTCTGACGGGGTTAAAACCTGAGATTCGAGCCGAAATCTGTCTTCACTCTCCTGGAGATATTGGGGAGATGATGATCCTCGCTCAACACGTTGAAGAACGCGAGACGGTGCTGAAGAGGGGTGAAGGGAGTGTGGGCCGAATGGGAAATGGGCTTCACACTGGCCACACCAGCAATGGTAGGCCCGCTTTGGGCAACAAAGGTGGAGGGAGTAGATGGGGGTATAATGGGCTTGCGGCTTCGGCCCAACAGGCCCCACTAACTAATACTCCAAACCCATCCAACTCGTCAGCGGCCAGCAACACGAACGTGAGTCCTAATTGTGTGGGAGGAATGACGATGGAAAATGGGGGAACCAACCCACCTGCGGGAGTGACGGCCAGCGCGACGGACGGTCGTCGGAGGAACAATTTCCGACGGTTATCACCTGAGGAGGAAGCTGACCACCAGAGACGCAATTTATGCTTTCGTTGTGGAGAACCTTTCGGTCCTGGGCATGTGTGCCCTAGCCCACAGATGAGGGTGATGCTGGTGTACAATGATGGAGAGGGCGAAGGAGAAGAGGATGGGAATCCGGTAGATGGAGGTGACGAACCGCCTGAAATCCTTCAACTCAGCATTCAGAGCGTGGTGGGGATAACTTCCAATCGCTCCCTGAAACTATGGGGGACGATCCTTGGTCATCGGGTGATAGTGCTTGTGGATACTGGGGCTTCTCACAACTTTATTGGAGAACATGTGGTGGAGGCAGTAGGAATACCATCGACCCAATCCAAGTCATTCAGGGTTGAAATAGGAGACGGCCACCGAGTCCAAGGTATGGGTATTTGTCAGGGTGTTACCCTGGTCTTGCCTAATATGTCCATCATTCAGGACTTCTACATCTTCGGACTTAAAGGGGTCGATATTGTGCTGGGATTTTCTTGGCTCGAAGGGTTGGGAGATATTCAAGCGAATTTTCGGAAATTGTCGCTACGGATTCCATGGCAATGTAGTACGGTCACCTTGCAAGGAGATCCTGAGCTTTCATATACTCAGGTCTCTTACCGAAGCCTGAATCGCTCATGGAGAAAAGGGACTGAAGGGTATTATATTGAGTTGGGCTACTCAGCAATGGAACTCACAGCTACACCAGAAGGGAATCCTCGGGTTGCAGAGTTACTTATGAGATACGAAGATGTGTTCCAGGTTCCCTCAGAGTTGCCACCTTCTAGCAAGTGTGACCAAAAAATCCTACTGAAACTAGGGGCAGACATCCCTAACATCAGACCTTATCGTTACCCATATTACCAAAAGGAAGAAATTGAGAAGTTTGTCAGAGAGATGTCAGTGGTGGGTATGATCAGACCCAGTTGCAGTCCTTACTCAAGCCCATTGATCTTGGTGAGGAAAAAAGATGGAAGTTGGCGATTTTGTGTTGATTATAGGGCCTTAAACAAGGTAACGATCCCTGATAAATTTCCTTTACCTGTTATTGATGAATTGCTTGATGAGCTGAATGGTGCAGAAATATTCTCAAAGTTAGATTTAAAATCTGGCTATAATGAAATTAGAATGAGGGTGGAAGACATCGAGAAGACCGCGTTTCGTACGCATGAGGGACACTATGAGTACCTCGTCATGCCCTTTGGCTTGAGGAATGCTCCATCTACGTTCCAATCCCTGATGAACACGGTCTTCAAACCATATCTGAGAAAATTTGTCTTGGTGTTCTTTGATGACATCCTGGTCTATAGCACCAGTTTGGACCAGCACTGTGAACACTTGCAATTGGTGTTAGATATCTTGAGACAGAACCATTTTTCTGCAAATAAAAAAAAATGCACCTTTGTAGAAAGAGAACTGGAGTACTTGGGTCACATTATCTCAAAGGAGGGTGTCAAGGCCGACCAGCATAAAATAGAAGCTGTGCAACAGTGGCCTACCCCAATGACTGTGAAGGGCCTTCGGGGATTCTTAGGACTAACAGGGTATTACAGGAGGTTTGTGAAGCAGTATGGTCAAATTGCGAAACCATTGACTCAGTTACTCAAAAAGGATAGTTTCCTATGGAATTATGAGACCCAACTGTCCTTTGAAGCTCTAAAATCGGAGATGTTGATGCTGCCAACACTAGCACTGCCGAAATTTGATGAGACATTCTTTGTGGAGACAGATGCTTCAGGAGCTGGTATGGGGGCTGTGTTAATGCAAGAGGGCCGACCAATTGCCTTCCTAAGTAAGGCTTTTTCAGATAAGGACAAGTTGTTATCAGTTTATGAACGGGAGTTGAAGGCCATTGTATTTGCTGTTTACAAATGGCGTCATTATTTGTTAGGACGCCATTTTGTGATTACCACTGATCATAGGAGTCTCAAGTACTTAACGGAGCAACGTTTCATGGTCGAGGGTCAACAAAAATGGGTGGCAAAGTTGATGGGATTTGATTTTGAGATACGTTATAAACCGGGAAGGGAGAATACAGCAGCTGATGCTCTGTCTCATGTCATGGACTGCAAGGAACTCACCATGGTTACAAGCCCGGACTTACAAGGGTTGTCCGAAGAGATTCTTCAGGATCCAGTTACTAAAGGTGTTTTTACTGATGTATTACAAGATGCTAACTCTCATCCAGGCTATCAGGTGCTCAAGGGCAGTTTGTGGTATAAAAAGAGGTTAGTCCTTCCTCGCCATTCTCCACGAATTACTGCCATCCTCACCGAATTTCATTCTTCTCCTTGGGGTGGTCATTCTGGGGAATTGAGAACACTGAAAAGGGTGGCTGGAGTTTTTTACTGGAAAGGCATGCGCAAGGACGTGGCAGATTTCGTGCGAGCTTGTGGTATTTGCCAACAACAGAAGTATGATCACTTGAAGCCTGCGGGGTTATTGCAACCTTTACCCATTCCTCACCAAGTGTGGGAGGATGTGTCGCTCGATTTTATTGGAGGTTTACCCGTCTCCAAGGGGGCTGATACCATATTGGTGGTTGTGGATCGACTTACAAAATATGCCCGCTTTATGACACTTAAACGTCCTTTTGATGTGCACACCGTAGCTGCTGTCTTCATGAGAGAAGTGATTCGGCTTCATGGCATTCCAAAGTCTATTGTTTCTGATTGTGACAGGGTCTTCATTAGTAAGTTTTGGGGTGAGCTCTTTAAATTAACAGGCACTAAATTAAAATTTAGTTCCGCTTATCACCCCCAAACAGATGGCCAAACCGAAGTGGTCAACCGTACCTTGGAGACGTATCTGCGTTGCTTTGTTAGTGGTCATCCAAAAGGATGGGTTAAATGGTTGTCCTGGGCTAAATTTTGGTTCAACACCACTTATAACCGGTCCATTCAAATGACCCCATTTAGGGCTGTCTATGGAAGGGACCCACCCACAATTATTTCATTTGCTCCTGGCAGCACATCAGTGGCAGCTGTAGATACATGGATGCTGGCTAGAGATGCCATTCTCGTGGAATTAAAGACCAATTTGTGTCAAGCCCAACATCGGATGAAACTACAGGCAGATAAGGGTCAAAGGGAAGCAGATTATTCGGTTGGGGACCAGGTTTTTTTGAAGATCCAACCTTATAAATTAAAGTCTTTAGCTGGTAGAATTAATCAGAAGTTGAGCCCAAGGTTTTATGGGCCCTTTGCAATTACTGAAAAGATTGGTTCGGTGGCTTACAGGTTAGAACTCCCTTCATATTCAAAGATTCACACTGTTTTTCATGTCTCTCAATTAAAGAGAGTTGTTCATCCTTCTACCTTGGTGCTGCCCTTACCTCGCTGCCTGTCAGCAGAATCAGAGCTGCAAGTGCAGCCTGCTGCCATTTTGAAAACCCGTAGATTATTGGATGGGCAGGTGGAGATACTAGTTTAATGGGAAGAGCTGTCTTCTTGTGATTCGACATGGGAGAAGTTAGAGGAATTTATGACTGAATTTCCTTCCTTTCACCTTGAGGACAAGGTGAATTTTGAAGAAGGGGGTATTGATGGGCCTCTTAAGCCTTATGCCCAAGTATACACTCGGAAGGCCCATAAAAGTAAGGGTAAGGACAAACCACAATCAGTTGCTGAAGGGGACACATGGCAAGCTATGAATGGAGAGGAGGATATTGGAGGAAAAAGGGAAGAGGAAGGGAAAAATATAAGTTAGTTATGGAGAGAGAATTAGGGGTGGAGTTTTTAGAGGGTGAAAAGGTGGGGTCGAGGTCTGTGAGGGAATATCTGAGTAGTGGTATTGTAAGGTGTGAGTTGTAATCTCTTCAATCGGCCAGTCCATTGAAGGGAATAGAGTCCTGACTTGGTTATTTTACTGTTATCTATCGGAGTTGTAATCACGATGGTGTATGACTCTGTTTGCTTATAATAAAATTGTTGTTATTCATATTTATCTTGATAATCTTTTCTTGCTGTTCCAAGAACAGATTCTGGTACCAACAAAGAATAGGGACAAAAAGATTAATTATAGCTATTAAGTTTCATGGTTAACCGATAGGCTTGTAAGGGTTCCAAATGATCAGAGTTCTGATATAAATTTAAATATAATCCTTATATTTTAATTATATGAAATATTTTGCACAAGAAAACTTCAGTTCAGCAGCTGAAGCGCTGAGAATAATTGAATGAACTCGTGTAGCTCAGCAGCTGAAACAGCACAGTGCATAAAAATAGATGAAGCAAATAGATGGTAAATAGGTAGTATAGTATTACAGATGGTGTCCAGACTACATAGGTATTAGGTAGTATAGTATTACAGATGGTAAATAGCATTTGGTTGATCTAGTAAGAGGATTAACTATATTCCTAATTCCCAATGCATAATGGATGGCGATTGGTGAAGCAAATAGATGAAGCCCCTCAATGTGTAATTTCTAATGCATACCACTATACCAGTACCTTTGGTCTTAGTTCAAACTGCTTCACTTGAAGTCACGGTATCAAGTATTTTTTGTAGTTAACATGCTTTATTCAAGCAAAGTAATAAACTTATCACACAACAGACAGACTACATCTAACAAAATGAGGAACTAAACACAATATAGCAAAATGTATACCAATGAGTAAAGCCACTAACAAAAAACCATACAAACACACATATATGCACACATGCACACACACACACAACTGCATGTGCATGGCCAACTGTTTATCAAATCAACAAAATTGTATGGATTTTCCACTGTAAGTAGCTTAACTCAATAACAATTTATGTTCACCAACCTGATATTCTGCTTCAACAGGAATGCAATCAAGGGAATATGGCTGCTGCAGGCGAGCTATAATGCGATCCTGCCCAATTTTAGCAAAAAATAATGTTAGATATTATATAATAAATTTTCATGTTATATCTGAATCACTTGAGCCCTAACACCAAGATAGGAACTGTTAAATTAGGAAAAGCAAACAAAGAGGATACGAAAACGTAAAATGGGACTAATGGAAGAAATTCTCTTATTATTACTGTCTAAATATTCACTAACTATAACTCTCCTGAAGCACTGTTTTCGTCTAATGAAAGGACAAAAGAATAATTAAATTAACCCGATGAATTTAATTAACAACAATTGATAAATGAGAAAAATAATGAACTAAAGCTGGGAAAAATTACGTTACCTTATTCTGAATAACATCTTTGAGTATAGTAGTAATCCTTGCCAAGGTCTCAATCTTCTTTTCCATTTCAGTCACATGAGTCAGATGTGCAACATTTTTATCATCCTAAAAATGATAAAGTAAACCTAACATATTAATTATTAACTAACAGATCCATATAGAAGCGGAATGGGGAAGGCTAACCTTTCGACCTTGAAGTTCGACTTGCAAATCTGCTATTTTTCTCTGGACGGTAGTTAGTTCTCTCAAAACCCTGATCAAGTCTTCACCCTTTTCCCCAGTTGAAGAGGAAAGTCCTTCCTAGAAAGAGAGACGTTATGAAAAACCACAATTTGCAAAATAATTGATGCGAATATAAGAGGGAATGGTACCTGAGATGGGAGAGGAGAGACGGAGAAACCAAGATCGGCGGCAATAGAGAGAGCATCGGACATTCCCCCAATGCGTTTCACAGGTTTCCTCCCAACCCAACTCGACTCGCTTGCCATCGACATGAATATTCCCAATTCTAACACAAAGACAGACAGTGTTTTCAGTTTTGAAATCCGACTTTGGTATTTTAAAAGAGAAATATTACTCTTAAGTAATATAAGAGTTAAGTAATATAAGAGAATTCTTCTCTCATGTACTCACAAATTAAAAGTGTGGTCCATTTTTTATTTTTTCTCACTCCTCTATTCTCTCTCCTCTCTCCTCTAAGTTGTGAGTGCATGAGAGAAGAATTCTCTCATGTCACGTAAGAATAATATTCTCCATTTTAAAATCAACACAAATATTTTTTTAAATATATGTAAATATAAACTTACTTTATGTTTAAAATGATTTGTAATTATATTTTTTTTTTAAATGACTCTTATAAATAAATAAAACAAAGCATGCATTGAAAATTATTTTGTGAGCGATTATGTAAGAAACTGCAAAGGAATTTCAAAAAATAAATATAAATATATATACGATGTGGTAGGTATGGACATGTTAGGTACTGTGATACCTGAACGGCTAAACCCAACTCAAACTTGAGGAAATTATTGCCAATGTCCATTGGTCGATCATCAGTCCTGTTTAGTTATGTGATAACAACCAGTCTAGGCCCAAGTAAGTATTACTAACATTGTTGTAAAACCCGGCCGGATCCGGCCGGGTCGATCCGGAATTCGGTGAATGAGTTATTAGATTGGTTTGGATTAAGTATTGAACTGGTCATCCATCGATCCGGTCAAAATTCGAAAAAAAAATCGGCCAAATCCGGGGACCCAGCGACCCGTGACCTGGTCGGGTCATGCATTTAAAAAAAATCAAAAAACTAAAATTATTTCATCTTATCAAAAAAAAATGTAAAACTCATTTAAAAAAAAAAATTAATTTTATTTGCTAGTATACTCTTCTACAATGACCTCAAATTTTAATTTCCAATACTAAAATTAGAAAATGTGACATATGTCATTTTAATATAGTTGAATTTGAAAAATATGAATTCAATATCATCGAGAGGTATATTTATGGGGATTCTGAGTTGCAATTTAAATTGACATAGTAATCGCGTATATTTTTATTTATTTATGTTTCATGTTTTTGAGCTTATTTAATGAACTTTGTTTAATTCATTTTAAATGTGGAGAATATAATTATATAATTGCATTTATATGTTCATATTTATATATATTTTTACATATCTATATATATACGGGTCAACCGATCTGATCAGTGATCCACCGATCCGACCAGTGACGCAGTATCTCGACCAGGTCGATGCCTGGGTCGGGTTTAACAACACTGATTAGTAACCATCTAATTTAGAGATATTCAGGATTCGGAAAGACTCGAAAATTTAATTCAGTCCCAAGTAAATCGGGTAAAGTTTGAAATCTCAAAAATTATATCTATTGTTTTTTTCAAGTTAGATTTGTATCAAGTTCTGATTTAACTTTTTTTTTTTTTGGGGTAAGCAGTTCTGGTTTAACTTTAATGTGATCTGATTCACATAGTATTGTATTTTTTTAATTTATGATAAATTGTAAAAAAAATTATGTAAATTGTAATGCTTTGTATAATATAATAACTTTTATTAATATAGTTTTTATGGATATTATTCATTAATTTATGAATTACTCGATTAGTCCGATTTGAGTCCACTAAAACTACATCAGAATAAAAAAGTTCCTATCAAATTTTAGCACAATTCTAATTCGAAATCACTAATTAAACAATAACAACTCATTATCAATTTATCAGCGTGTTTTGTGATATTAATATAATTTTTTAAAGCACATATTTCAAAGCACTCCTCGGATTTAATCTTGTTTTTTTAAGTTTTTTTACTTAGTTATACACAATATATTTAAATTCATATATTATATCTAAATAACATATCAATCTAATTATTAATTAGCACATACCCGAATTGGTTTCATGTTCAAAAAATTAGCTAAAAATAAAGAGAGGTTATACTTATATCATAATTTCTTTTACAACTTCTTACAATTACTTTATTTATCGTTAGATAAAAATCAAATCAACGATTATAAATAATATAAAGTGAGAGCCATTAATTTGATTTTGATATAACAATAAAAAAAGTGGTTGTAAAAAAAATCGATTGTAAATATAATCTTCTTCAAAAAAATATTAGACAAAATTTATGACAAGTCAAATTCGATCAAAACATCTATCCCCATTTATCTATTTATTCTTTCGTAAACTTATCGTCTCTCCATCATTATGCTATCGTAATTCAAGTTACTAATTTACAACCCAAAACAAGTGGAAAAATAATATTTGGATAAATTTTTGAAATGGCTTAGTTGAATTAAGAGTTATCAATTTTTTGTTCTTTTCATATATATTGACCTTCATTCTTATGGAAACACAATTGGCAATAAGATATTTTGATTTTTATTTCCCTTATCATGCCTATCAGGAAGTTTATATTTATGTACACATTAGTTTCACAACAAAAATATAGAATAATAGAGAAACTTACCTCATGAACATTGTGGGAGATTGGTTAGATATTTTATATAAAATATGACACTAAGTTAATTATTTGAAAGAAATAATACGTGGGAGAAACATGTGATGCCAGCTACAACACTTGTGAATTATGTCCATTCGCATTCACAGGTTAATCATATCATAGGGTGGTATAAGTAATAAGATCAAGCAAACATCATATTATTTGTTGTTCCCGAGTCAATTATCTAGAATTTTATTTTCTCTCACATGAGACAAAGAAAAAAACCATCCACGACCTTTGATAATAAACTTGTTGGTGGCATAACAATTAGGTACCAACAAGAGATATAGATCTCCCGATATTAAAGGAATTTCCCTACATATTGAAGGACTTTTTTTTTTTTTTTTTTTGTAAATAAAGAGGGGCTAAGCCCCAGAAACAGAAAGAAATTACAAATCATAAACTAACAAGCTAGACATATTTCTAGCATCAGCAACTATAAGTTCCATCAACTGAGGAGGAGGATCTTTAAAAATCTTGAAATGGAGATTATTAGTCTGCCCAGCTTTAGCTAACCAATAAGCACATTTGTTGTTTTCTCTCTTGGTATGAACAAGATGAATAGTCCAATCTGCTTTTAACCATAATCTCAATCTGCTAGTGACTTGAGAGTCCCTAGGATCTTCATGCTGCTCCTTTAACATTTGGATGGCTTGGCTAGAATCACATTCTAGCTCTATTCTTTTTAATCCTGTTCCTCAAAGCAGTTCCAGACCTTTCAGTAATCCCCATAATTCTGCATTAAGAGGATTGCATGAACCCAAATTACAATAGAAGCTTCCCAAAAAGGATCCATTGTGATCTCTTAATATACCATCACAACTAGCTTTTTTCATGCCACTAGAAGAAGCTCCATCACAATTCAACTTAACCCACCCTTGCTTGGGGGCTGTCCACACGCTATCGTTGGAATCACCACGGCGCTGATAAATTCGGGCTTGCAGAATCTGTTGGACAAACATCCAAATTGAAGCCTGTGATTGCTCATCATGACAGAAATGATCTTCATGGATCTCCAAATTTCTCCACTTCCACAAAAACCAACAAGTAGTAAAGAAAATATCCCTCCAGTCCTTCACTTTATTGGAGGACCACATGTTATTGATATTTAAAGTCAACCAATCCTGCAAATTCGAATTCATAAAGGAATTGGGTATCAAACCTGTAAACCAAGATTGCCAAATTTTCCTAGCATGTCTACAATCACGAAGAACATGAATAATAGTTTCCTCATGATTTGGACAACTGGGACAGACATTTGAACCTCCGCTCCACTTACTGGTTCTGCTGCGCACTGAAAGTTTAGCAAGCAAAGTCATCCACATAAACACTTTCACTCGTTTTGGTCCATTCCACGACCAAACTTTTTTCCATAAGCTAATGTGAACATCTGCTGAGAAGTTCATAAGATTACAGTAAGCGACCTTAACCAAAGAAGTTGAGTGATGATTATTGATCCAAACTAATCTATCCTCCCCATTCCTTGGAATAAGCCTGAGATGATTTGTTACTGCATCAGCAAAATCTGACTCCAGAAATTGATGAACAACTTCAAGACGGAAACCATCATCCACCATGTAATCTGCAATTGATTTCTGACTCTTCTCCCATGGCACCTGATTGCTCGACAACTGCTGCAAATTTTCCTCCCATCCCAACCAGTTATCAGTCCAAAGCTTTACTTCAGAACCATCTGCTATTCCCCATCTAAGACCAGCAAGGAAATTACTCCAACATTTAGTAAGATCACGCCAAAGTTTAGAGTCATATGATTTTGCCTTTATACCTCTCCTTAAGTCTTGACCTCTACCATACTTGGCTACTAAAATCTTAACCCATAAATCATCTTTCTTAGTTAACACCTTCCACGCCAGTTTATGAATATAAGCTTCATTTTGTAGTCGAAGGTTAATTATTCCCAAACCACCTCTATCTTTGGGTTTATACATTTGATCCCAAGCTACTAAATGAGTCCTCCTTCTGCTATCCTGATCTCCCCAAATGAAAGCCCTTTGTATCTGCTCAATTTCATCACAAAACGTTACTGGTAAAAGACCATTCTGCATATGGAAAGAAGGGATTGCAGCAATGACCGATTTCACCAAAGTAACTCGACAAGCAAAAGAAAGGCAATGGCTTTTCCAACCATCCAGTTTTGAACGTATCCTATCCTTGATAGCTCCATAGTCCGTTTTAATATATCTCCTTTGTTTAACAAGAGAGCCTAAATATCTGCCAATACTAGAAGTGCGCTTAAAGCCCATTCTGTTGACAATCCTTGCAGCAACTTGAGTATCAGTATTCGGGGAAAAATAAATCAAAGATTTATTTGCACTAACACTTTTCCCCGACATCTCACAAAAGAGATTAACACAATCCATAATCACCTTAGCTTGCTCCATATCTGCTTCCGCAAAGAGAATGATATCATCTGCAAATAAAAGGTGGGATACACTCGGCCCTCTTCTGCAGACTCTAGTAGGCTTCCACGAACCCATAGTCACTTTTTCAGCGATC